ATTTAAGCATTTTAAATTTGGTTTAATTTCTCATTCACCAAACAAAAAAATCTACTTAAACAAGCTCTTAAATTGGTCACAACCAATTTCGAATTTTTCAACAAACTTCAGGGACCAATGGTGCCATTTTTCTGTGCTTCTGTTTTATACATCACACTTTTGAGAAAAGGTGTTTGATATGGTCAACAATGTTCCCTTCTCGAACACCCACACCCAGGGAAGAATTGTGCCATTCTATCGTATCTAGCACATGCTCCTTGGGTCTGTCACCTCAGGACGGTGTCATCTCCGGGCCTTCTATTGGTATTCTCTACACCATGTAGACCTCCTCTGGCTACCTCCTCGGGCAAGAACACCTCCCTCTGGGTAGGATCTCTTCGAGGTTATGCCTTGGCCCCAAATCTAAAAGCACCTAATCCTTTAAAAATCTCCAATAAGAAAAGGCTTATCAAATTCTGACAAGATTGAGTCTTATTACGTCTACTTTGTCCTATTGTGCAATATCTGTCATGTTGCAACTCTTAAGCAAGGTAAAACTCTTAAGGATTCGAATAACATAATCCTATTAGGAGTGCGCTACCTACCTCTATAAATACATGAACTCAATTTATTATTTAGGTTTCCTTTTATATAATTTTCAATATATAGCTCTTTGCATAAATTGTCTTTCTAACTTAAACATCAGACGGGAGACGATGCCACATCTCAATATCTTTGTTTCAGGTACATGAAGATTGTGTTCGTACTCATTTTCAATTCTCAAACTCGAAAAATCAACATATACAATTTTTGGTAACATCAATGTTCAAAACCTAATTAGGGGTGTTGAAGGCTCGAAAGGTGTTCAAACCCACAATATTTGTGGCAGGGATGGGCCCTTCAAAGGTGTTGAAGGCTCGATCTCGGGATTAAGAGCTTGTACTGGTTCCACTGTTAATTAATTTGGGTGAGAAAATTTTGGTTTGCGAGATGAAATTACCTACTGGAGTTCAATGATATGGGGTTAGCGAGCTAAAATCAGGTTTGGGCTTCCATGATTTGGGGTTGGCAAGATGAAATCAGGTTTGTGAGGTTTACACGACTTCAATTGATTGTAAACTTCAATTAATATTTGGGTAAGGCTTGTTTGGGAGAATGACATGGCATTTAATTGCCACATGTACAATCCGTCTCTCACGTGTAGTGTTTGGTGACAAAATTAACTTGGTGAGTAATGGAGTATAATGGTGTAAAGTTGAGTGACTAATGGAGTGCAAGTTTAAGTACAACCAATGAAATGGGACGTTAGTTAAAATTTGGCGTGTGCGTTGAAACAATTAACACAAACAAAGGCAAGATGCAATCTCCATCTTCCAAAACAACCCTCCGTACTTGGCAATATCTTATTGGTAGATTCTATTTCATGTAACAGTCTCAATCCAAACACGGCGTAATTGTTCACATTTTCATTCTTTCAAACATTTTCCCAAAAACCTGAAAATACGAAGAGTCGCCGGAGAAAGGTAAATCGGAAAATGAAAAACCGGGAAATTCAACTTAGTTTTAATCTCCTGCTTCTTGCTCTTCTTCCACTTTCTACACTTGCCCGCCCATTCGTCCTTGTACTCACCCAAGACGACCTCTCCGACCCCGCCGTCACACACAATCCGTCCTCACCGGGCGACTTCTTCGCCGACTCATCCGACTTCGACGACTTTCCGGATTCCGAGTCACTGCCCGACTCCGTTCTCGACCCGGGATCCTGGTCCCCCATATTCGAACCCGAATCGGATGAATCTAATAACGAGTTGATTAATAGTGAGTTGATCTATTATGATGCGGTGAGGAAGATGGTGGAAGCGTCGAGTAGGGGTGAATACAGGCTGATGGAGGAGGCGGCGTCTGAGATCGACGCGGCGAGTATTGGCGGTGACCCGCACGCGCAGTCGGTTATGGGATTTTTCTACAATACTGGGATGACTAGGGAGAAGAACAAAGCCAAGGCGTTTTTGCATCACTATTTCGCTGCGCAGGATGGGAATATGCAGTCCAAGATGGCGCTTGCTTACACTTACTATCGCCAAGAAGTAAGCTATGAAGTTAATGCTGCTTAACGTATAAAGACTACGGTGATTTTGTATGCGTTCTTTATCTATATGTGTGGATGATTTCTAGTGTTATTTTTACTTGATGGAGAGTTTTAGAATTGGATAATTTGAGGGCAAAGAAATGATGGAGACTTTTCTGATGCGCTTTTCCTGTTTTAGGTTTTCTGGTGTTTGGGGGAGGGGTTTGAAGATAGAGTTGTTAGGCATAGGAATTCAACGGTTTAGCGGAATGGAGCCTGATGGTGTAACTTTTTCGTTTGCGGGATTGACATTAGCTCTAAAGCTGGGAGTGGGAGGAACTTGGTGATTCGAAATTTGAATAATCTAGGTTTACATGGAATGTTAAAAGAGTTTCACTTTTCTGTTCATGCAAAGTGTAAGGTTGGAATTTTAGTGGAAATTCTTGTGGTTGTGCCACGTTGATCAAGGACTAATATGATTTGCATGGCTTCCTAAAGTTAGGTTCACTGATGGAAGTATCATTAAGGATGAAGGAAATGTAAGACACACAAGTTGATAAGAAACAAACAATGAAAGAAGATATAGGAAGTCACAACTCATTTAAAATGTGCCCCGTGTTAATAAAACTTGTGAAGAAGATTCTCTGTGCTGATAAGCTCAGGGGATCCAATCATTTTGGATGCAAGGGAGAACCTTGTCAATGATCGATCTGAAATTATTTGTTTTAAAGTTGCTAGAACTCTACAGTGTTGGCAATAATTGTGGAAACAATGATTTTACTAGGATTTGCTGAAAGCAAAGGATTTTGAGCTGACATGAGGCATTCTAATGAATTTTAGGTTGGAAACTTTTGTCTCTGATTGGCTGAGAGTCTAAGATACACCTGTGTGGCGCCCTTGTTTTGTTGCTTGAAAATAATGGTGAACTCTAAGTTTCAAGTATAGTCTTTAAAGTTATTTAGCCTGTCCTTGATTATATTGTCGACTGAGCTCTATGGCACGTGCAGCGTGCTTAATAAAAAGCGTACTTTAAATTTGAAGACATTAGTTTCCATATATAGTTTCTAATATATTGTAACTTCATCAAATAATGCTCTACCAAAATAACTTGTTTTTTGATCCTATTGCAGAAGATGCATTAATCTGTCATACGCATGTTTTTCTTCATTTCTTGGCAAAAAGCATAAAGCGTTGATACCGAAGTATTGGCTTTATCAAATAAAAAACTTACTTTTTTACATAACTGAACATTCTACTAGAACTTTACTCTGAAATATTCTTGAGGCTAGGCTTTAGTTGAGAGGAGTCATATTTTATTTGAATATACAGAAATTTCAGTGAAAAGAATGTTGTAGTTAAACAATATCTTTGGGTGGGGATTTATTTATATTTGGTGCAGATGCATGATAAAGCAGTGAAGCTGTATGCTGAATTGGCGGAAGTAGCTGTGAATAGTTTTATTATCTCAAAGGACTCGCCTATGATTGAACCAATTAGGATCCACAATGGTGCAGAGGAGAATAAGGAAGCTCTGAGGAAGTCCAGAGGAGAGGAAGATGAAGACTTCCAGATTCTGGAGTACCAGGCGCAGAAAGGGAATGCAGGAGCCATGTATAAAATTGGACTATTCTACTACTTTGGTTTGAGGGGAGTAAGACGCAATCATACCAAGGCGCTGGGGTGGTTTTCAAAGGCTGAGGAGAAAGGTGAACCTAGGTCAATGGAACTTCTTGGAGAGATATATGCAAGGGGAGTAGGGGTCAAAAGGAACTACACCAAGGCACTAGAATGGCTTACACTTGCATCAAACCAACAGCTTACTTCTGCTTATAATGGAATGGGGTATTTATATGTAAAGGGCTATGGAGTGGAAAAGAACTATACCAAGGTAAAAGTTTCATTTTCCCCTTCTTGGGCTTGTATTAAACTATATTTTTGTTTTTTCCTTAGTCCTCACTATTCATCCCCTTTTTCTGTTGTTGCACTTAGATTGGGGGACTTTTATTATTTTGGTGACTATGTGATGCTTCTGTTTTATGCACATTTTCTATCTTTAACATTTTTTTTATAATGCAAGTTCTTTTCATTTAATCTGGGCAAGCACTATTTAGTATTTATTCTTAAAACTTCTCCATTCTCTGGCTTAAGAATCTTGATTCTCATTGTTTGGAATTTGAGAAGTGGCGCATCCAGGAATTTTTGTTTCTTTCCTTTTTTTCTTGGGGTAGGGATGGAGCTTATATTAGACGATGAATGCTCTGCAAAAAGAAGAATTAAATCATATCATGAGTGCAAATCATCAATTATCCTTGCAATTATTAAGATGTTCCAATTCCATTAAGGATTTAACCACTACCAAATTCCAAGAATCAGTCTAAGTTGAGAGGTGGAAGAAAGAACTGTGCATACGAGTGGATGCGGGGAGAGAATGTATGCTTGTGTTTAATTTTGTATGTAAATTTAATATCACTGTCTGCTAGTGGGACCAGATCTGAGATTATTTCTTCAAAAGCACTGGACCATTATTGGATACTCCCTAGCGAGACACACGTGAATACACACTGGAGATTGTAGGAGGATTTGACTAGCATTTAGGAGGAGCAAGATAGCAATTTTCTTGACATCCTTGGGGATTCATGACATTCATTCATACAATATGCAACTATTTTCTAAATGTGATAGACCTTTCTGCCTCCACCTTGAAGCGTTCTCTTGGCCCCTGGTTTTTTATTTTTTAACTTTTCAGGACTTCAATTGTCTGACCCTCCATAACTGTGCTTTTGGGCTATTTCAGTCTGAAATCTATTGCATATGTAGTAGTTACTTTTTAATTTTCTGTTTTAGGGAAAAGAATACTTTGAGAAGGCTGCCGAAAATGAAGAAGCTGGTGGGTTTTACAACCTTGGGGTAATGTATCTCAAAGGACTTGGGGTGAAGCGGGATTTAAAGGTAGCATGCAATTATTTTGCACTCGCTACCAATGCAGGTCAACCGAAAGCATTCTACCAATTGGCAAAGATGTTCCACACAGGTGTGGGGCTCAAGAAGAATCTTCCCATGGTAAACCATCTTAGACATGGGCTTCTTTATATATCTACTTTATATATTGATTCGGTCTGCATTTTCACTTGAATAAAGTCTCTTTTTGCGGAAACCTTAAATTTTTGGGTCGAAATATTTAAGTACATCTCTACGTATGCACAACTTGGAAAAGAATACTTTAGTGCCCTTGCTCCTACTATTTTATTTGGTTGAAGTTCCTCATTGGATCTTCTTCTTCTCTCTCTTTTATCTGGAGACATGGGTATTCATCCCCTACTTACAGCATCTCACTTTTCTGTTTCCAACAAATTGAAGCATGTTAAAATTAAGGGTAAATTCTCTATGGGTCCTAACCTTTTCATTTTGTGGTAATTTCTTCCTCATTCAAATTTTATCCTTCTTTGTGTCCCTTACCTTTCATTTATTAGCAAGATTCATCAATACTAACGACTATTGTAAAAAATTTCTGTTAAAGCGATATATAAAGACAATCCTGCCCTTAAACTTTAAATATACAAAAATCAAAAAAAAATATCAAAAAGGCAAAGAAGTAAAAAATTAAAAGTTAAAAATACCATTCTTCCTCAAGTGACCACCCCCCACCAACCTGCCAAACCCAAACTTCCATCACTTAGGGTCAGGGATAGACATTGGATGGTTCGGTCCAGGTATTTTAAGAAATGGAACCATTCAGTTCCATGTAACTAATGGAACCGAAATGGAAGCGTATGCTTCTGTTCGACCATAGCAATTTAAAAGTGAAAACAATAAGAAACAACATATGAAGGTACAATTCATCTCATTTACTCGTAAACTTTAAATAATTTTATCAAACCTTGAACATTTATCCTTTAAAAGTTAGGATACTCATTTTTCAATGACTTTATCTGATTTCTTGTCTTATTTTTTGTTAAAATTAATACATATAATAGAGGTATTAACAACAAAATATGGGGGTTGGTGTCGGGTTTGATCTGGGTATTTCAAGAACCGGAACCACGCATTACACTTTGAGTTTGATTCCATGTAATTTTTGGAACGGAACCGGAATTGACAATTTCAAGTTGTTTTCGGTTCGGGAGGTTCGGTTAGGTTAAAATGCTCATCTGGCCCATAGCGCCATTTGCACCGCCACCGCCTATGGCAACTACCCATGAAACCTCCAATTGCCACCAGTCCACCACTAAAACCACCGCCACCTATAAATAGGTAAAAGAATTGCCTACAACGCCAACACTAAAAAAATTATTTTATGTAAATTATTCTATTTCTGCATAAGATCCCTATATACTTCCCCAATTTATTCATCAATGTTTGCCTTCTCCCCAAATAACAACATAAAATGACATGGTTCAAAGTTTTTACTTCAAACTATATGGAGGGGAAAAGTAAAAACTTTGAAGTATTGCGACGATACTTTCAAATTGCTGCATAAAGTTCTTTTTGGAATGGGTAAAAGTAATGCTTTGAGTTTATACGCAATACTATAGTGTTCCTCCATGGTTCATTTGGGTCTAGCGTCAATTTGCTCTGTTCATGCAGTGTTCCTTTCAGATTGATACTCAGATCATGTTGAGAATGGCTGGCATTTTCGTTTCCTTTGGTTTTAGAAGATATCTATTTGTGTTAATGCATCTGAAACATTTTATAGATTGAAGTTATCAAGCATATTTATTTCTTCTGGGTTCCTAAAAGCATTTTGAATACTACGGTACTATTAAGTATTACCAAAGTGAATAAGTTGCAATTAGTTTCACTTGCTAGCATTTTGGCCTAATGAAGTACTTAATTTTTGAAAAGATTGATGGCACAAATAGTGAATTTTAAATTTTTTTGTCATTTGTTTACTGATGCAATTTCATTTTCACCCTCCTCTGCAACATCAACGCAAGTTTCTTGCTTCACTGAATTTTAGGTTATCTTGCTGTCTGATTTGTGTATTAAAGTGCAATTTGTACAGAAAGCTGGTTTTGAAGTACAAACTTGGTTCGTCATTACAAATCAAAGTATTTTGGTTTTGAAAGTAAAATTTTTGGACCAGGTCATTTTACGTTGTTATTTGGAGAAAAGGTAGACTTCAATGAATAAATTGGGGAAATATGTGGAGCTCTTATGATAGAAAGAGGAGAGTTTACAGAAAATAATTTTTTAAGAACTTGTTGGCACTGTTGGCAAATTTTCCGCCATTTACTGTTGGTGGCGATTTTGGGTGTTGGTAGTGGTCGGCGGTTTCATGGGTGGTGGCTGTGCCAATGGCGTGATGGCAGTTTGGGTTTTGCAGGTGGGTGGGGGTGGGTCACAGGAGGAGAAGACCAGTATTTTATTTTATTTTATTTTTGCATTTTGGTATTTATTTATTGTTTATTTAAAGTTTAAGGGTAAGATTGTTTTATACATTACTTAACCAGAACATTTTTGACAGAAACTGGTAGTAGAAATGATTCTGCTAATAAATGAAAGGTTGGGGATGGGAGGAGGAATAAAAATTGAATGGAGACGAAGTTGCCACTGAACGGAAAAGTTGGGATTTAGAGTGAGATTTACCTTGAAATTAATTGCATTGTGCATTGTACACGCCTACTTGATCAAACCACATTTTATAAAGTAGTTGCAGAACTTGGACACGAAGTTTCGTGTCTTCCTCTTCCCGTCTCATTTCTTTGGGGTATTCTTTCTCTCTGCCTTTTTGTTTTGCTTTAGACAATTTAAGGGCTTTAAAACCAATTTGTTCATAAAGTGATCGCCATGTCTGACTCTGTTTAGGCAACTGCATTATATAAATTAGTTGCAGAGCGTGGACCATGGAGTTCCTTGTCTAGATGGGCACTAGAATCATATCTGAAAGGTGATGTCAGCAAGTCATTCCTTTTGTATTCAAGGCTGGCAGAGATGGGGTATGAGATTGCACAAAGTAATGCTGCTTGGATCCTGGACAAATACGGGGAACGCTGTGTGTGCATGGGAGAGTCTGGAATCTGCACAGATGCAGAAAGGCACAAGCGTGCTCATGACTTGTGGTGGCAAGCTTCTGAGCAGGGCAATGAACATGCTGCTTTGCTGATAGGGGATGCATATTACTATGGTCGGGTATGTTCATGTATCATAATAATCAACAAGTTAGAAATATCTTCGATACAAGTTTTGTAAGTCACTTGTGCCTTATCCATGGTTGTGATGCTAAATAACTGTCCTAGACTGTTGGTTTCAAACATTTTTCTTTTGTGCTGATTTGTTTACCCTTGTTTTTGTTATGCAGGGTACGGAACGAGATTATGATCGTGCAGCAGAGGCTTATATGCATGCCAAATCTCAGGCTAATGCTCAAGCTATGTTCAACCTGGGGTACATGCACGAGCACGGAGAAGGGCTACCATTTGATCTTCACCTTGCCAAGCGTTACTATGATCAAGCCTTAGAAGTTGATCCTGCAGCAAAGTTGCCTGTAACACTAGCCCTTGCAAGCTTGTGGGTGCGGAAGAACTATGCCGATGGTTTCCTGGTGAGTTTTTCTCTGTTGTCCTCCTGTTAGCTCTTTTCCTGTTTGATCTTCTACCTGGAACTTTATCAACGATATTGATCTTCTATTTGTACTTGTTTAGAAACACTGTTAGAAATTTCATTTCCTCCAAATTAGTTTTTGTATTTTTTTTTTCGCCCTATCCAATTATATTGGGAGAAAAATTAAGCAAATGATGACATATTTGATATCTGTCATTTTTTACTTGCCTGATTGATATGTGAACTGAAAATTGGGTTACTTTGTGTTTTGAAGGTTCATGTAATCGATTCACTTCCTGACTTTTACCCAAAAGTGGAGGCATGGGTGGAAAATGTTATTATGGAGGAAGGAAATGCAACAATTCTCACACTCTTCATCTGCCTACTAACTGTCCTCTACCTTCGTGAGCGACAGCGGAGACATGGTGCTGCTGCAGCCATGGTCCCGCCCCACCAACCTGCTGAGCAAGGTGCACCCATAGTTAATTGAACTTGTTATGAAACATGGTGCCGTCATTGTCTTGTCCATGTCTAAAACGATAAGAGTCTTTTTCATAAGAATGTACAGATATTTGGTTTTGTTAGAACGTCCTTTTACTATAGGTCTGTTTGTATGTTACAGTATTAGATTTTCCATATTTCAGTTCCTAGACGGAAAGAAATTCTAGCCCATAATTTTTTTTCCCCCTTTTTGTATTCCTTTGTACAATTAGACAAAAAGGCAAAGAAATTAAAGGTAGAATCTGATTCTCGTTACATTTTCCGTAGACATTCTGGTTGATGTGTTAAGCCTGGGAAATTGTCATTCTACCTTTTCTATTATTCCGTGGCCTATCTGCAGTGCATATAGTTGTATAGTTCATAAAATTCTCTCTCTACATGCCAGGGCCAAGGGTTTGGTTACAAGGTAAAATAGGTAAGATTTTAGAGGAGAACAAGTGAATATGTTACATAATGATTTCCAATGTTCAATTATAATACGAAGGAAAAGTAGCAGAGGACCATGAATGCATCTGATCTGACCGAACTATGTGTCGCCTTGCAACTGGATGATATCAATAGCCCGGTAGTGAGTATGGGGCGCGCGATAGCGTGGAAAAGGGTTGAACTATACTTGATTCGTGTCTGCTCGGGAATGTCTTGGACATCGGTCTGCTAATAGGGAAGGATTAGAGGGGTCGATTAGCCTCGTCTAGAAAACAGAGCACATGGTTCATGTTGAAGCGAGAGTAATATCTTTGCCTTCCATTGTGGTGGTGCAACTAAGGTACTCTCTGGGTGCCCATGGACGTTCAATAAATAGTTGGTTTCGTTTGCTTTGGAGATCGTCTGTGGATTTTTTTCGTGGGTTTCCTTTTGGATACAACTACGGAATGTCCATACGGTGTTTGAAACAGAGGCTCGTGCACGCCAATGGGGAACAACATTTGGCGCAGTTGAGGCGGTGGATGTGGTAGGGCAACGCATATACCCTTACATCAAGCATCAAGCACATGTTTGACAATTATTATTTGAAAACTCCTTTTTTTTGTACGTACTTACTTTCAATAAAGCATTCATATAATAACGTATTCTAGAGGTGTCCAAAAGTCCCGAACCCGAATCGAACCGAGTGGTTCTTCATAAATTAAATACCCGAATGGGTACCCGAATCGAGAACCGATAGGTTTGAGTCGGGTCTCGAGTCTAGACCAAGAACCGAAGAATCGAATAAGAACCGAAACTAAATAATTTTTTTATTTTTTATATTGAATTAATTAAATTTTTTTCTATACAAATTAGCAAATTAATTAAATAAATTAGATTATTTCATAATTTTAATTTTAAAGTCCAAATTATTTTTAAAATCCATTAACCCATTTTAATTTGAAGCAATTGAATATACTTTATGTAATTTTGTTGTAATATTAATATCTACTTTTTGGTATTTGTATACATTGAATTAATGTTATTGGACGACTAGTTATGTATATGTTTTTGAATTGGGCAGCGTTAATTTGTAAAAGTTACGAATGAAATGTCATTAGTTGTATTTATGTGGTGTTACTGAAAATATTAAAAAATTTAATTATGGTACGGAACCGAATGGACCCGAACCGAACCCAAACGGTTCCATAATTATATTTGGATCCGACGGGTCCATTTATTAAATACCCGAAAGTTTTGGGTAGGTTCGGGTCTCTTCAGAACCAAACCGAACCGACCCATGGACAGCCCTAACGTATTCTGCACATAAATTTAAAACATTTCCCTACTTTTTAACTATGTACCCTCCTAAAAATTACTATTCAAAACATTGTTTTAACCAAATAATGACCATCAATCAGGGGCTAAATATGAGTAGTTCATATTTGTTGATAATAAGTCAAGTTATATAGGGACATATTAGAAACTAAAAAAGCAACTAGGAAAGTGACTTATAATATGTGATACAGGAAAAAAGAAAGTATTATCTTTATGGGACGAAGGAAGTAATAATTCTCAATGTATGATAAGTACGCAATAATTTATGGGATTATGTGGTATAAGTATAACTAATTTATTATAATAAACAAGATTTTATTTATTTTTAAGTATTCAATGCTAAATAATTTCATGTGCCAAAAAAAAAAAAAAAGCTACACAGGAAATAATGCAATTGGAAGGTCCAAAGGAGGAAAATTAATAACTGGGTTTTAGGTTTACGGTTACAATCTTGATCATTAAATTGATCTCCTATAATTAATATTATTTACCGCTTTCTTTAATTTTAAGATTTTCCTAGCACGCATCAACACAAAAATATCATTTGTAATTTAACAAATGCATACTATAAAAATTAAAATATCGAATTTTAAAAGTTTTACGAGTTTTCATTGAATTTATCAAAATATTATTGTATCCGTAACTACCACGCTGTCGTCTTAAAAGTTAATTGACTCGATGCAATGTCAAACGGAGTTTTACATGTAACATGCTTTCAATGTTAAGGTGGCATTTCTTCTATTTTATGATCAAATAAAACGAATCAAATTGATAGATGACATAACAACTTGACACCCTCCTACTAAAATCTGCGCGAATTCCAATTAACCCAATTCAATCCAATTGAATCCAGTTTACGATTTGTGTGTATCCCCTCCTTCCCTTTCTTCTTCATAGAAAACACAACTCTCTCTCCCTCTCTCGTTTCCACTTGCTAAATAGCTACAGAAGATACGTCCGCAGAGTAAGTGTTATGCACGATTAATTAAAATTTCTTTGTATATTTATGTGTAATAATGATATGTTTACTAGCATTTTAAATACAATTCGGAGTCAAGTCTTAGATTCCTCTTTAATTGAAATCAACTGGATTCATGAAATCATAAAGGGGTAACGTGTCGAGTTAGATCCCGTGTATGCTGGTGCAGTTTCAATTGAAGATACCGTAAACTGGGTCCCAAATGGATTGTTTAATCAGTTCAGAAATGCGGCCACATTTTGTCCATTAAAAGTCAAATTGAATCTCCTTTATTATTGGTTGATGCAATGTTTCGTCTTTTCTCCGGTCCAATCCTTACAATTGGCTTTTTCTTGCAGGGACTGGTTAATTGGGTAGTTAAAATATTAAAGAAAATTGAGTCTGTAGGACCCACAAGGAAGGGAAGGGCTAATAAGTAGATATTTAGAAAGTCACCAAGAACGCCAACATCTTCATCTCCAGTAAGTGCAACAAAATCTCAGATGGAAAATCTTTTGGGACTTCTTAGAATTCTGGTCAAGAGAGGTGTAAATCTTGCTGTTCGTGATGTACGAAGTAGCGATCCTTACGTTATTGTCAAAATGGGTAAACAGGTTGGTCTACATTTCTCGATCACTTTCATTTGAAGTAATTTGTGGCGATTGGTATATTTGTTTATGTATATTTTGTTATTCATGTGTTTATCACTAGTATTGCACTTTTGTACTCTTGTTGTTTGATAATTTGGTGATGTTGGGTACGGTTTGGTTGACTTTTGCCCTCTCTCGTTTATTGCGTTGTTTATGGTTCATATGAATTGTATTGGGTCTTTTGGGTGCTTCGCTGGATTGTTCAGGTGATTTCTAGAGAAACTCAATTGAGATTGCTTGCGAGTAAGTAACGGTTATTAATTGTACCACTGAATAGTTAAAGCGATTAATATGGATGTTAGAGGTTATGATGGGATACACAGTGATCAAAATCAAATCAGCAAAGAGAGACATGGTAACTTGTGGTTCATAAGGATTGAGACAAGATACAGAAAAGTGTTGGGAAGTTTTGTTGCTGAGTTAGATTATGTTGTTTTTTATCCTCGTTAGATTGCTAGAATATGTGCAATTTTCAGCTTGGCCTTTTAGATTTCCCCTTGCTGGTTCTATGAGTGTTACTTTTTTTTTCTCTAAGGCCAATCTTGATTTGCTTCCCTTTTATCAGGAAACTAGAACTAAGTAACTGGAGTCTTGCTTAGATATATGTTAAAACATTTTCTTTAGTGGGAGCATCCAATGAAGAAGGAACATAATTATAAGATCTTTTGGGTGTTTCCTAATTTGTCTTCTCTGAGAAAGGAGGTTGAGAAATCTATCAAGAGAAAATTTCAGGTGCCACAGTTTGGGGTACATTGCAGTAGACGAGGTGCTGGCTGTAATTGTATAAGTAGCATGTTTCGTTTTTCGTTTATGTTCTTTCCAATTTTTTTTCCATGGGATGGAATAGGTAAGGGTATGTTGTTTAAGGAGTTGTTTAGTTACCACAAAATTTATTATCCTGTGATTTCTTGCTTCCGATACATCCAAATCAAAATGGGTGCAAATGGAATTTAAGTTTTTTGTTATTTTCTTTATGCAAAATAAAGTTAAGACCGGTTAAACCTCTAATTTGGATTGAAACTCCACAATAGGTTGCTTGAAATCTTGGTGCTTGCTATGTAGCCACCTGAAAGGAAAAGCTCTTCAGGTCGAACCTCTGTAGTGTTCAAGTCCCAAAATATTACATGGCTGGATAGTCAACTGAAAATTGAAAACAAAGATTTTGACATAATTGGGAAAAAATTGTATCAAAACCACAATGATACTTTAATTTGTATCATCCATTGGGACTTGGTCGGAAGAATTTGCTGTGGCCATCTCTACCCACCCTAGGCACCCATCCTCGTGAAGCCTATGGTATCTATCTTAATATCTTTCTCACCGCAGCGTGAGCAACCTTTGCACCAGACCTACCAAGTGCTAAGTGTACGCACGAACACTTTCATTGAAAGCCACATTTGAAGGAGAATCGTGGAAATTAGTTTTGGTTATGAGGTAACTTGATATTTACTTTAAGTCTCTTTTCAATTTGTAGCTTGTGGGTCTACGGAAAGAAATGAACTTTTGATCATATAAATAACGTGTTCACACGATTTACTTTCACGACTGATAAATAGACTTTTCTTGCCAAACTGAACCTCTTAGGGGACTTTTCTGAACTCACTCACTAGATTGTTGTAGGCTACGGGAGAAGACTGAGGTTATAGGGAGATGTTTGGAGATAAGGAGATTTCCCTGAATTTATTAAATTATTCAAAATTTTGTATAACCAGCTTTCTTTGTAACTGAGATGGATTTTACATGGAATATCGTGTTGGAATATATGCAAGTTGCATATTTAGCTAAGCTCAGCAGCTCACACGTTCCAGCTCCTGCAAGCATGTCAAGCAGCTCATGTTCCCAGCAAGTTTAGCAGCACCTTCCAATCTCTTCTTCCTTATTTCAGATTCTTCTAGTTTCTTCTTTAGTTTGTTATGTTGTTAGTTTGTTAGATAGTAAGTTAGATTTTACTCTATAAATAGAGTAATGTATTTCCATTATCACTTGAGTTTTTGATGAATAATAAGTGTTTTTCATATCCTCTTCATCAAGTTCCTTCAATATAGTTTCTATATTGAATCTATCATTTTATTTTCTTAATATGGTATCAGAGCAAAATGCTCATTCCGTCTGCATTTCTTTTCATTTAGTTTATCTTCATTAAATAGGGTGATTCTCCTCCAGCATCACTCTTACAATTCTCCAGTTCAGCAGCTTACGTTCTGATGAATTTGGAGATTCAGCTGATTGAATTTCTGTTCATCAATCTATCTATTTCTGTCATAGATCTGACTCTAATTCATGGCCAATTATCTGTTTTTTTGAATTCTGGTTGCCCATGCCCCATAGCTCCGATTCATAGCATTCATGAATGAGGTGTTACTGCAAGACTGTTGATAATGGAGATCTGAAGTCAGAACATCCGCTGGTATGTCTGCCATTGGGAACTTTGTTCAGATCTGAATTTTAATTAGTTTCAACAGCTGATATCCATTCCAACTGCTCCCGAGTTTTTAATTTCTGAGCCTGCGGTTTCGATTCCTGCATGTGCAGCAAGAACGGAGGGTGTCCTCAGTCATCTCCATCAATGTGTTATTCCGCTATTGATGATGTTTTTATGTAGTTCGAATTCGTGCAATTATAATGGCACACTTCCGATTTCTGCATCTATACTCTTCTTACTCTCTCTGGATTGCTTCTCTGCTGTTTCATAATACCACATCAGGTGTCTTTAATCTGTTCATGAAGCTTATTGCATGACCGTGATGGCTTGGATTAGTTTGCCCCGGTTAATGGCTCCTTCCACACCAGTTCACAGAAAAACTAATGATGGTATAACAATACTTGTATCTTTGTTCCTTTCTTCAAGATGTTCTATCTTGAGGGGGAGTATTGGAATATATGCAAGTTGCATAATTAGCTAAGCTCGGCAACTCACACGTTCCAACTCCTGCAAGCATGTTAAGCAGCTCATGTTCCCAGCAAGTTCAGCAGCACTTTCCAGTCTCTTCTTCCTTATTCCAGATTCTTCTAGTTTCTTCTTTAGTTTGTTAGATAGTTAGTTAGATTTTACTCTATAAATAGAGCAATGCATTTTCATTATCACTTGAGCTTTTGATGAATGATAAGTGTTCTTCATATCCTCTTCATCAAGTTCCTTCAATATAGTTTCTATATTGAATCCATCCTTTTATTTTCTTAATATATCGAGTTTAGAAGAACGCCCATGTTTGGGGAACTCAGCCTTTACTGGATTTGCCTTTAGAGTTGCAATCAAATAGTTCACGGGTTTGGACGAAGATAGATTCGCATTTGGAGATAAATCCGCTGGCATCTACACTGTTAAACTTGTAAATTATACATTTCAGGGTGATATTTTTTTTTTTTTACCCTCGGAAAACTAAAGAAGTAAAGTTCATAGAAACGCGTCTCTTTGTATTGACTGCTGTTAGAAAGGCCATACTTATCTTTCTCTTGTTTTAGTCCTGTCAAACCATCCCTCTTGTGTGAATTGTTCGGGTTTTTTTTGGGAACATCAGTTCTTATGCTTCTTGTATACGTACTTTCTTTTATGAAATTTTCGATTGATAGAAAAAAGTTTCAAGGACAAGTTGCTACTGTTTGAACTTTCCAAGATAGCTAAATATTTTTGCCATGTCATGATAATGATATGATAATTGGTCTTCATATAGTTATTTTCATAAGGGTTGCTCATTGCCATTGGTTAACAATCTGCTGTTTGATTGCTTAGAATATGATCTGATGATTATCTATGCTGAATTTAAAAGAGATGCTTTCAACCTCTTTATTTCTCCTGGAAATTCCTGACACATTCTCCTAGCATGCTGTCCAATAATGCCCAAGTAAAGAAAATAATATTGTCCTTTTATTGTTCATGTCAGTTGTTTTTGAGGTAATATTTACTTGGACGAGCTTTTAGGCTTATGCTTATGTTTGGTACACATTACTAAATAAGATTAGATGGTACAATGGACAAGATTTTAACCTCTTTTTCTCGCTTAATGCCGTCTAGTACTTGTCTAATCCAACTAACCAAACCCCTCGAACAAAATAATAGGGTTTCAAGGGTCTATCTATGACAGCAGATAGATGGTGGTCTTGGACATAAAAGAAGCGAGGAAGATGGCCCAGGGGCTATTTAACAATGAGGAACAGGGAACGGAAATTGTGCAGTTTCGGAGACGTAGGAGTATGAATTCAATAGAAATTTGTTTGCTTATGTACAGTAATTCGTTTTAAGGTTTATCGCACATCAGTTGATATGTGGTTTTAAGGCTGGATTTGCAGACAGTTGCGATAGACAGAAAAATAAGTTATGACTTGACCCAGGAAAGCCAAATGCCTAAAGATCTGCAGGATAACGAGAATTCTGAAAAAGAGCTAAAGTACCAGGACGAGGAGATTAATAAATGCTAACTGCTATTTAAAATGTTTGGAACTACTTATTTGCATGTTATAAGTATACGGAAGTTCAAGGGGATACTAGCATAGAAGCTGGAGCTATAAAAGGACATTTTCCGTATCTTGTATAAACTTAGCCCATGTATGGCACCTGTTTAATTTATAAAAATCTTTAGTCAAACCTAATTTTAACCCACACATTTTGTAGGATTTACAAGTACTACCCACTTATCTTCCACTAGTTTCTATCTATTAATTATATAAACCGATTGTAATCTTTTCTCAAACAAGTGCTTACTATGGTTGCTGCCAGTGCCAGTTATCTTCCGTGCCTAACTTTATATTTTGGCTGCCAAATTGGAACTATCTACTTGTTAACTTCCTGTTTTTGTGAACAGGTATTCTAATATTTCCCATTTTTTCTTAATTAATACAGAAACCGATTCATTGTTTATGAATGGAGTTCACGTTAAATTTAGTCAGCTCTCTTTTAGTCAAATTTAATCTGGTAATTTCGTCTTGTTATATAGAATTTTTACTTCTTGAAAGCACCTTATAAGCTTTGCCGAACATGCTATATGTGTTTGCTTGCAGTTCCTCTCGTTTAAGTTTCTAGTATCATATTATTTTGCTGTTTCATGCAGAAATTGAAGACTCGTGTTATTAAAAAGGATGTTAATCCTGAATGGAATGAGGATTTGACGCTTTCCGTTGCAGATCCTAATCTTCCAATCAAGCTGGTAGTGTTCATTGGTAGCAATGCTAAATAAATCGAGTTAGAAGAATTTATTATAGGAATATTATTTACCTACCTTCAAATTTTTCTGTCTTTACATCTTCTAGTAATTTTTTTAGCCAAGTAATCATTTTCTTTCTAATAAGTTTACAGCTTTGAATAGTTAAATACACGAATCTGCACCAATCTTTCTGATATCATGGCTTGTATTTCAGTATTCATTTCATGGAGATCTCTGATGTCTATTCTTATCTTCTTGTATGATTTCAGACTGTCTACGACCACGACACTTTCAGCATGGATGACAAAATGGGAGACGCAGAAATCGACATTAAACCATTTGTAGAAGTCTTGAGAATGAAATTAGACAACCTTCCGAGTGGTACTATACTTACAAGAATACAACCCTGCAGGTCGAATTGCCTCGCTGAAGAGAGTTGCGTCGTCTGGAATGACGGCAAGGTGATGCAAGATATGTGCCTGAGATTGAGAAATGTGGAGTGTGGTGAAGTGGAAATTCAGCTTGGATGGATTGAACTCCCTGGCTCCAGAGGTATGTAGAATGCAAGAAATGTCTGTTCTGGTACTGGTTCTTTGTAACTTACAACGATTAATTTAGTCATTTGCATTCTGTTATGAATTTTCTGGTGACGTTTGTTTGAAGGACAAAGTTTGCTAAATATACTTTATATTTCTCTGAATTTGTGTACAAGGTTATTATCACTGTAAAATGACCAAATTGCCAAAACTTTTAGCTTTTCATGGTCAATAATCCCCATGCCTCTACGCCTAGACATTCCCAAAAAAATTTGTCCCCGTCTTACTGCGGCTTTGAGTCATTTCATGGCACTTCTATCACATTGTTGTGAAATGGTTAAGGGGTTCTTCCTTTCTTTTGGATGGAAGCCAATGTCGTGAAAGACTAATTCTGTTGTAGTGTATATATATAAAGATTTCGTATTGAATTGATTCATGTGAGTATGATTATAAATATTTTTTATTAGGCTAATTAGCACAAAACGTCCCTACCTTTGGGGTTGATTTTGGAAATTGTCCCTACCTTTCATTTCTTGACATTTATACCCTTATCTATCACTTTTTGTGCGCTGAACGTCCTTTTCACCATATTTTGACCATTTTACCCTCCATTCAATTGAAACAAAAAGAAAAGAAAAGAAAAATAATTGAACAAATTGCAATTATTGGCCTAAACGTTTTAAAAAGTGCAAATAACTCACCAAACTTCACCTTCTTCCCGAAACTCGTACCCACCCTATCGTCGCCTGTCGGCCATTTTCAGGCCACTGTAGCCACAAGATTTTTGCACCAACACCATCTCCTCATCAACCCCTAATATTCCTACACAAATTTCAACCCCAAGAAACAACAAAATCGAATTAAAATTTATGAAAAATGGACCATATTTCCGGCAACTTCTCTCTACCTAAGGGGCGAGTTTTGCCCCTTCCCACTACCAAAAATGGACCACATTTCCGGCAACTTCCAGGCACCAAGACCACCGAATATGGATACCATTGTAAAGCCCTCGACACCCTCTTCGATTACCATCCAAAATCCAGCCATAACACCTAAGGCTTTAGTAGAAATCGGCCTTCAAACCCGGCTGCCTGCAAATTCCAAATCTGTCGGAATCTCACCGACCGACCAGCCCCATGATCGCGGGCTACCACTGGTCAGTTCCCCACACCCAGACGACCCCATCCATGGTGGTAATTCATCCTAAACGACTCTCAAGCAGGCTGAATTTGATTTTCAAAACTGCCCAAGCGCGAAGCTCGCTATCCCGCCTCCGATAAATCCAAATTTCGGCATCGTTCGTTGCACCCATGGTGGCTGACCACCTGGGCTTGGTTTGTCCCCACCTGGTTCACCTTGCCCAGCCATGGGTCTTTGTCAATTTCAACCAGAGCTCATCAATTTGTGGATATTGCGCAGCCTTGTGCGAAAAATTCGAAATGGATGATGAGAAATCCATGGCCAGACAGCTGGTAGCTACGCGGTGAAAAATGGAAGGCTTGCGTTGTATTTGGTGTAGGTGTTTTTTGGACGAATTTTGGTTTGATTTTGTTATCTTTTGGGGCTAAAATTTGTGTAGGAATGTTAGGGATTGATGAGGAGATGGTGTTGGTGCAAAAATCCGGTGGCTACGATGGCCTGAAAATGGCTGGCAAGCGACGATAGGGTGGGGGCGAGTTTCGGGGAGAATGTGAAGTTTGGTGGGTTATTTGCACTTTTTAAAACGCTTAGGCCAATAGTTGCAATTTGTTCAATTATTTTTCTTTTCTTTTCTGCAACTTTGTTCAATTATTTTTATTTTATTTTCTTTTGGTTTCATTTGAATGGTTGGTAAAATCGTCAAAATATGGTGAAAAGGACGTTCAACACCGANAATATGGTGAAAATGACGTTCAGCGCACGAAAAATGATAGGTAAAGGTATAAATGTCAAGAAATGATAGGTATGGACGGTTTCCAAAATCAACCACAAAGGTAGGGACGTTTTATGCTAATTAACCTTTTTATTATAATGGTTTTCCCCACTTATATTTATATCGAGATACTACATAAAGGGTTGCAAGAAATGCAACAAAATAAAATATTTTACACAATGTTTAGACCATATCTTTTATTTTTCTAACATGTTCTACTAGAATCATATAAACTAAATTATTATGAAAATGTCATCTAAGAAAAGAAGTAGGCCGTCTTAATTCTCTCCTTGGTGTTGATTTTGGTGTAGAAGAGCTGTGTTGCGAAGTCCAATCGAACCAGAATTCAGAAAGGTTTGGACATTTGATAAGGGACAAAAAGATGATTTCATGCTTGCCCTTCTTACTCCTTGAAAACCCAACTTTTGCAATACCAAATCTACATCAATTTGTGCATTTCAAACAGTATGTTTGAATGTTTAGAACTCCGAGAAGTTTGTATATGTGACACGCCAATCTTTGTTCCCCTCCTCCCTCAGTTTTAATCGAGGACACGTTCAGTACGTTGACATAAGTGTAATATTGAACATGATTATAAAAATATAAGAAGTTGTAATCTTTTTTGTTGTTTTGGGACAATACTAGCTAAGTATTATGTGCTGGAAATATTTTAATTACATTATCTAGTTGTTGTTCATATTTGAAACTTACGCGTGAACAAAGCACAAAAATCTTAGATATCTCAGCAAGATAACTTAGCAAGCATGTTAAAATTTCAAAACCTTAGAAGTAAAATAAGGGCATATCTAGTACGACAAATTGAATAAAATTAGAAATGATTGAAGAAGAGAGAAACGCGATATAATTTGTCATTTGTTCTATCAAATTTAGACATGATAAATGAAGAGACGTTATATAAATTGTGGTCTATTTCATTGAGTACGCTAAACACATCCTTCTTGTTTCATGTCTATCAACACAAGGTATCAAATATATACCGAAGATTTTGGATTGGTCAATTCAAAGATGGGACAAATAACACATCAGAAAATATAGCGATATTTTCTATTTTTCTCACTAGATGAATTTTTTCACAAAAACATAAAAGAAAAAAAAAATCTTGAGAAAGGGGAAAAAATTGCCCATCAACATCCCACGAGCCAAAATGCGAATCCAAGAAGAAAGTTGAGGAAAAAGAAGCAAAAGAGGCTTGAAAAGCTTCTCCAAACAATTACTAAAAAACACATACATAAAACCTCCAAATTAGATGCCTTTTTTCTCACTTGATATACAAAAACCAGAAATCTATACCAGTTCATTTCATCAAATTAACACCTCCACCGTCTCCTTCTTTCAAATTCGAACACAGCTTAAAACAAAGAGGACAAAACAAAGAAATGGAAATATATTAGTAAATTATCATCCACCCCACCTTACCTTTTGCTTTGGGGACTGCAAGTGCAAGCTTGCTTGCAATCCTAAAGCTGTGCATTCTGAAATTTTGTAGAGCCCCAAGAAATATACTATTTCCTCTTTTCTGTATACATACCAGTACTACCCACAACCCCATAAACCAAAACACATGCCCCCTCATCACCCTCTATTTCCTAATCACAAGTACTACTTCTACCTCCTACGTCTTCTTCAACTTTCATATAATTTTCACCTTTCTTGTATGTTTTCTTGATCTTGGCAGCTGAAAAATCGAAGTTTCTTAATCATTCATTCAGTTTTTGCCTTTCTTGTGCGTTTTCTTGATCTGGGCAGGTGAAAAAACCAGCGTTCTCTTCAACTTTTATTCGGTTTTCACCTTTCTTGTGTTTTCTCGATCTCGGCAGCTGAAAAAACTTGCAAAAAATGATAACTCTATCAGATTTCTATCATGTTATGACTGCAGTGGTTCCACTCTATGTGGCTATGATATTAGCTTACGGTTCAGTAAAATGGTGGAAGATTTTCACACCAGACCAGTGTTCAGGAATCAACCGTTTTGTGGCACTCTTTGCAGTTCCTCTGCTTTCTTTTCACTTCATTGCGACAAATAACCCTTATGAAATGAACTATCGTTTCATTGCAGCTGATACTCTTCAAAAGCTCATCGTTCTTGCAGTTTTGGCTGTTTGGACTAATATAAGCAAAAGGGGTTGTTTGGAATGGACAATTACACTTTTCTCCTTATCATCTCTTCCAAATACTCTTGTTATGGGCATTCCTTTGCTCAAGGGAATGTATGGAGATTCTTCTGGGACTCTAATGGTGCAAATCGTTGTCCTCCAGTGCATCATTTGGTACACTTTGATGCTGTTCTTGTTTGAATACAGAGGTGCAAAGATGTTGATTTCACAGCAATTTCCAGACACTGCCGGCTCAATTGTCTCCATCCATGTTGATTCTGATGTCATGTCATTAGATGGTAGACAGATTCTTGAAACTGAGGCAGAAATCAAAGAAGATGGGAAACTTCATGTCACTGTTAGAAAATCCAATGCCTCAAGATCAGATATTTTCTCAAGAAGATCAATGGGTTTTTCATCAAATACTCCAAGGCCATCAAATCTAACAAATGCAGAGATTTATTCATTGCAGTCTTCAAGAAACCCTACTCCAAGAGGATCTAGTTTTAATCATACTGATTTTTATTCCATGATGGGGGGTGGGAGGAACTCAAACTTTGGTGCAAATGACGTTTATGGCCTGACATCATCAAGAGGGCCAACTCCAAGGACCTCAAATTTTGAGGAGGAAAGCGTAAATAAGTCCAGATTCTATCATGGAAATAATACACAATATCCAGCACCAAATCCTGGTATGTTTTCACCAACTGGGTCAAAACCAAATGCAGCCAAGAAGCCAAATGGGCAGCAAGAAGGTTCCAAGGATCTTCACATGTTTGTATGGAGTTCAAGTGCCTCTCCAGTTTCAGATGTGTTTGGAGGTCCTGATTATGGAGCATTAGACCAGTCTGCTAATACTAAAGAAGTGAAAGTTTCTGCATCTCCCGGTAAATGAAGAGTGTAACTTTTTTACTTCTATATATTTGACCTTATTGTATCTTATTTGCTTAACCGTGAATTGGATTACGTCTCAGTAGAGGTTCATAGAGAGAATCAAGAACATTACTTGGAGAGAGATGAATTTAGCTTTGGAAATAGAGTTGAGGATAGAGAGATAAACAACCATCAAGGGGAGAAAGTTGGAGAGAACAAAGCCAAGGTGATGCCTCCTACAAGTGTAATGACAAGGCTTATATTAATCATGGTCTGGAGAAAACTCATCAGAAATCCCAACACTTATTCAAGCTTAATTGGGCTAACATGGTCTCTAGTTTCATTCAGGTACGTGCTTATAATTTTCACCAGTGTTCGAATATTTCGCTTAGAGCCGAATCATACTGCACACTTATCGCATCTTAGACCATAAAAAAAGTTCGCTGGTTTATCGATTTCATTTCAGTAGGAAATAAGGGTTAATGTGCATTTCTGGGTTGTAGGTGGCACGTTGAAATGCCTGCAATAATAGCAAAATCCATTTCAATACTATCTGATGCAGGACTTGGCATGGCAATGTTCAGTCTTGGTGAGTAATTAACTCCTCCATTAATTAATTATTATGACATAATCTCTCTCTCTCTCTCTCACACGCCCATCATGATTAACTCTAACTTTACATAATCAAACTAGAGAGCATGCTCAAAAAGCAAACCCGGGCCCCAACACTGTAATCAATCATCATTACATGTCTGCTGCTTCTTTATTCTTCATTTTTCAGATTCAGTACTTACTGTAATAAAAGAACAACATATATACACATCACATAGAGTAAAGTGGTGGTGGTGGTGGTGGTGGTGGTGATGATGAAAGGCCTGTTGGGGGTAGAGTGGGGTTGGTGTATATATGTGTGTGGAAATGTTGATGATTGATACGGTGACATGCAGGACTGTTCATGGCTTTGCAACCGAAGATCATAGCATGTGGGAATTCGGTGGCAGCTTTTGCAATGGCCGTGAGATTCCTTACAGGCCCAGCTGTCATGGCAGCTGCTTCCATTGCTGTTGGCCTTCGCGGTGTTCTACTGCGTATTGCCATTGTGCAGGTCATCATCCTCTCTCTAACTTTATTGTCTCACTTGTCAAATATAGGGAAACTTTCACAAGTGATCCTCAACTTATTTATGAAGTAGCAATTCAGTTCCTAAGCGTTCAAAAATAGAACGAGTTAGTTAACCTGCACTAAGCACGGAAATTATCGCCTAATCGGAAAGGTCTAGCTCCACGTCGAACTTTTTCTAAACTCTCAATGTGGAATGGAACCATTATGTCTACGTTAAATTGTCACGTGACCTTAACATGTCCAACTTTATGTAGCTAGATTCTGTATTTCAATTTCTAAATTGTTGTTCAAAAATTTTGAAGTGAAACATATTTTGATGAGGGTAATTGATCGATCGCGAAGGTCGAGGACAACATTTTTTTTTTTTTACTTTTCTTCAAAAATTTAGTTAAAAAAACATTTCACTTGTTTCCTAGATACCATCTTACCTACAAAGAACCAATCCAACCTCTTAAATATTGCATTTTTATTCTTATTTTTGGTTTTTTGTTACTGTATTTATGTTAACAAGGAATCTCACTAAATTATTCACACACATGACACTCAACACGTGAATTAAATTATTGAATAATGGTAGGCAAGTTAAATAAATGAAATATAAAAACCTTAATTCACTTGTACCAAACATTCAAGTTCTTACCAAATTAATTAACAGGCAGCTCTACCACAAGGAATTGTCCCCTTTGTCTNCCTTTTTTTTTTTTTTTTTTTAATTTCAGTGTTATATTCGGAATGTTAATCGCCTTACCCATTACGCTCGTGTACTACATTTTGTTGGGGCTATGAATGTGATGTACGTAGATTAGCATCAAAGACTTGGATACGGAAACTTTTTAGAGCGAAAATGAAGAGAAAAATGAATGGATGAATGGAATTTTCTTTTGTAGTAAAGTTGTAAAATCATGTTTCATGAGAAGAAAAGAAGAAATTCTCTATCTAGTTGATTATTGTGGTGTTTTTATTTATTTATTTTTATTCCAAGAATTAATGCTTACACTAAGTAAAGTATAAGGAAAAAGTATGGTGGCTGATGTGAAATATGCCTGCTGTTTTTATGGCAAAAGGTATGAGAATATGTAATCGAACTTTCAATAAAGTAGGGTGAGAATTTTCAAGCCGCAAAATATTTTTCTTTAAACCCCCAAAAGATATTAGTATTCTTCTTTAATGCGCATGGTTGTATAAATTAAGCTCATGTTTGTTTGGTGTAGCTTAAAAACTTATAATTACATTATTGATGTGATTCATAATTTTTATCAATTTTTTAACTGTACGTTTTTATTAATTTTATAAAAATATTTTAAAAAATTGATGAATCCACGCAAGTGTTTATTAACATTTTAAATTATAAATAGATAAAAATAAA